GGGAAGCCAAGCACTATGCGACAGCCTTGGTGCTGGTGTTCAGAGGCCAGAGCAGGCTGGGGATCACTTGGGGGCTCCTAGCAATCTGTGCTTAACCCAGCTGAGATCCATTGCATCAGACCCCTCACCATCCCCACTGCATTGCAATGGCAATAGGGCTTGCAAGGTGGGAGCTAAAGCCAGGAGCAAACATCACACACTTTTGGACAGCTTCACTGTGGCCCTCTATCGACCTGACCGTGGATCAAGATTCCCCTGTGCTAGGTGTTGTACAGCACAGAACAGCAAGTCCTTGTGCCAGCACCTTACAGTCATCCTTTTCATAGGGGCAGAAAGCCACAGCCTTGAAACCAGACCCCTGCTTCTGAAGGTAGCCAAAGGCCTAAAACCATCGGACTCTAACCCTTCACCCCAAAACGTGCCGCTGGGCCACATACCCTGTAAAGAGCCGCAGGTAAAAATCAGGGGACATGCCTTGCCAAAGAGTCAGCGATTCCTCTATGCTCAGGGGACTCCAGGTGGAGACCCATGCCCACGCTATAGGGGAGAACAGAGCTCCCCACCTCCCTTGCCAGGCTGACCTGAAGGAGGAATACCCACACACAGTCAATCCCCCAGCACAGCATTAGAGGTTTGCAACGAGCACCCTTGCAAATGAGCCTTGACCAATGGTGGGGATAAGAAATCCCGTGATAGCTGTCACAAGAGCTGGGATCGTGAACCCTAGTGAAATATTTACCCCTGGAACAGCAAAACATGGAGCAGGGCTGGGGTTGCCTTCAGAGACCCAAATGGGCTTTGCACAGCTTACCTGAGCATGCAGGTCAGAGGTGGCGCTTGCAAAACACGCCCTTTCTTGCCTTCGAGTGACAGCTGCAAATCCGAAAGGGGCAAAGGCTGCAAAACTCAGAGCCTCTCTTGATGAGGTCAAGACACCCCGGGGGCAGGAGCTTGGCAGGGGAAAACCATACAGGTTCTCCCAGTTCCACCTGCCAAGGGCAACTCCACCCAGAGCGGAAACAGAGAATGACTCACCCCCTCCTTCCTCTCCACCAGCCTGACCCACGAATTCCCCTCCAGGGACTGTGCAGGTACAGTGAGGTCCTTCCTGGGCCCTGTCAGCAGCGTGCATGAGCACCTTGCGCATGAGAGCGCACCACTTCCCCCAGCTCCTGGGGCTCCGTTCTGTCCCATTGACCTGAATCACAGGCCTGCTTCTTGGACCCCTTTGGCAGCATGAAGAGGCCCTCAAAGCCAGGCCCTTTTGACTCATTTCAAGGGCTGCAAGAGCAATCCCCGTATATGGAAATGGTGGGGTGTTTCCCCGCAGTGAATGAATTACCCAAGCACCCGACAGCGGAGAACCAGCTCAAGCATGCAGCAGCACGGGCCTGAAGTCACAAGGAAGAGCCAGACTCAGTCTGGGCTTGGCTCTACCTGAGACCGTCACACGTGACAAAGTGTTGGCTGGCAGCAGGGAGGGGAAAGGGGGCTAGATAGTCGGCTGGAATAAGTGAGCATCAGTCGCCCGAGTGGAGCACAGCCGGCTCGTACCTATAGATGAGCTCAGTGCCCAGCAAGCTGATTTAGCGTGGAGACAAGGAGGGAGCACAGGACCTGGCAGGAGGGGAGTGTGAGACCAGACAGGTAGCCCCTACATGGACACTGCTCTCTTGCTCGCTGCTTTTCCAGATACATATCCCACTGCCCCCCCACAGGCAGCAAATACCACCCCTGTCCATGCCCCTCTAGGGTGGAGGGCCCCATTCTCGTTACCTTGAGGGTCCCGTGCCCTAGGTTGATCTCAAAGCACTTCCCCTTCATACCACCTTCTGGTGGCTGTGTCTTTAGGCCTCTCTCACTCCTTGCTTTCTCCATCTTCCTCCCGCTCCCCAGGGCTGGAAAAACCATTTTATTTTTAAATAGAAGCTGAGATTCTCACCCAGCACCTCAACTCCAGGAGCTGGGGCTTCATCAAGAACAGCAAAAACCCATGCGCTGCACACTGAAATTGGGAGGGGAGCTCAGCAATGGCCTGCTTTGGCCAAGTGTTTGGAGATGCATGCATGCAAGGGACTGCACAAAGGCCTAAGCACTGCTGGCCATGTTCCCATAATAATACCATGTTCAGGTCCAGGTGGAAATGCAGCTTTTACAAGCACAATGTTAATAATTAGGCTTGCAACTGCCCCTCTGGGGCAGCCTGAGCGATTCCAGAGTGCTTAGACAGGGCACTACCAAGTAGCAGCCTTAGGAGAGGGCAAACCGGGTGACCGCCACACTTTAGGGGACCCCAAAATTTGCAACACATTTTTTGGGGAGTGAAGTTTTTGCAAGGAAGTGGCTCTATTTGCATTTTAACTCTTGATTAGTTATCTAATGCCCCCTCTTTCTTTCTTCAACGTATTAAAAACGTTCTTTCTTCAACTTATGCCTCTAAGGGGCCCCAAATGACTCTCTTGCCCAGGGTCCCAATGATCCTAAGGCCACCACTGCACTCCCTTCCCCTCTCTCCTGCCCTGTTGAAACGCAGTGCTACGTACCAGCTTCTCGTTCAAAAGCAAAAATTAGTTTCTTTGGTGGTAGAGAGAGTGAGTGGCAAGACCCCAGGCTGGACACCTGCCCAGACACTGACTAATGTCCCCGGCTCTTGCAAAAGATCTCTAATGTCAGGGCCTCCAGTGTGTACATTTGGTTCAAAAGGCAGCGGATCAAAGTGGCCGCAGACACAGCTGGGTGCAGCAGCCCCCAGGATAGGGCACCATCCCCTGGGGAGAACCCAGAGAAAAGGGTCCTCAGCCGGCTCGTGTCTGCACTCAGGAGATGCCCAAGATCATTCAATGATCAAATGCAGCTTCTGGAGGGTGGTGAAAGCAAGGTAGGGATGGCTTCAAGCCCCAGTGGAAACAGGGGGACGAGGGGCTGCAATGGGAATTTCTCACAGTAAAATGAGGACTTGGTGCTGCCCTGCACCCACCCCCTGGGAGCCGATTCTCTGGCTAACTCCACACCGTGTGCTAATACCAGAAACTGATTAAACATTTCTGTGGCTTTTCCCCTGCCCTATTCATTTTTTCCTTTAGACCCATGGCAGCATTCAGGGGAAGATCTCAGACACCAACCTTGCTGCTATATTTTGAGGGGTTTCGGGTAGAGGGAAAAGAAAGAACTTTAAATTCTTGTTCGCAAATCCTCTTCCTCTGCCCCCTCCACTGGGTCTACAATGCTTCTAATCCCTTCCTCAGGTTTCCAGGATGTCCACACCATGATTTTCATCGGCTTTGGGTTCCTGATGACCTTCCTGAAGCGTTACGGGTTTGGAAGCATCGCCTTCAACTTCCTGATAGCGGCCTTTGCCATACAGTGGTCCACGCTGATCCAGGGTTTCTTCCACTCCTTCCACAACGGCAAGATTCATGTTGGAATCGAGAGGTGAGGGTGCTTGCTTGAGACCCAGATACCCTTGCTCCAAATCACCACCTTGGCACTACACCACTTGACATCTCGCTCCCCTTTCAGCGGGAGGGAGATAATGGCACTGCCCCCGCTCAGCGGAGGGTGTTTGAGGACGAGTGCCTCCAAGACGGCAAGGCACCTGGAAGCTATAGCAATGTGGGCCACATGAGGATCTTAAATAGGCCGGCAGGCATCACACCACATGCATTAGCACGCAGCTTTCTCTGGGTCACAGGCAGCTCTTCTCCAGGTTACCACGCAGCTGAGAAATGCATGTTATAAGCCCAACTTGCTAACTCATTTGGTAGGCAAAAGGGGTGGGGAAGCTGGTGTTGCTGGTCATCCTGAAACAAAGAAGAGGTGGGTTCAAGTCCTTTGTCTGCTACTGACTCCCAGTGTCACCTGTTTAATAAAGTAACAGCTCATTTCTCTTGAGCAGGGAACCTATCACCTCCTTGGGGCAGAGAGTCTCTGCTAGGGTGCCTGTGTACAGCACTGAGCACAATAGAGGACTGATTTTGGCTGAAGCTGTTTAATACAGACCTAGATGGGGACAGGGCTTTATTTATAGATTTCAAGGCCAGGAAAAACCCCATTGAACCATTTTCCTGCTTGGCCAGAACATTTCATTGCATAGGAGGAAGCAAAACCCTTAAGCTATGATCTAGCCCCCCTGTTTGCTCACAAACCAGCCTAGGCTTTTTAATCCATTCAAAGATTTTGTGCCCACTCTTAGCTGAGTTATTTCCCCCCTTTCTAGTGTGGGTATCCTGTGACTGTCCAGAGAGCTGGCACGAACCAGCTCAGCCTCCTCAGGGCCTGTTAAAACTGAATAGAGCATGAAATTTGGCTTTGCAGAATTCACTTCGGGGCAGGAAGTGGTGGCTGGGGCTGGGGCTGGGGCTGGCACTGCACCCACTGCCCTCAGCCACACGCCAACCCTCCTGCCTTCTCTCTCTCCCCGCTAGCATGATCAATGCCGATTTCTGCTCCGGAGCTGTTCTGATCTCCTTCGGAGCAGTTCTGGGCAAGACGAGCCCCGTCCAGCTGCTCCTGATGACCTTGTTTGAGGTCACACTCTTCGGCCTTAATGAATACATCCTGCTCAGCCTCCTGGGGGTAAGTCATGGAAAATCAGGGTTGGAAGGGACCTCAGGAGGTCACATCTAGTCCAACCCCCTGCTCAAACCAGGACCAGCCCCAGCTACATCATCCTAGTCAAGGCTTTGTCGAGCCAGGTCTTAAAAACCTCGAAGGATGGAGACTCCACCACCTCTCTGAGTAGCCTGTTCCCTTGCTTTACTATCATCCTAGTGAGATAGTTCTTTTCTTCCTAATATCTAACCTCAACTTCCCTTGCTGCAGCCTGAGCCCATTGCTCCTTGTTCTGTCACCTGCCCCCACTTTTCTGCTCTCCTGTTCCCTGGAGAAGGGAGATGCATTTTTGCACTGGTGCGAAGTCCGGGCAGTGGCATTAAAATGCATTTGGTACCACAAACAAGAGTGCCCAGGGCAGGGCAGTGGGGAACCATGAGCAGCTGGTGGATGGTTAGAGGCCTGAGGAAAGGCTGGAAGAGCTTGGGTTTGTCAGTGCAGAGAAGAGAAGACTAGGGGGGGATTTGATAACAGTCTTCAAGGGAGATTCCAGAGAGGTTGGAAACGGGCTTTTCTCTGTTGTGGCTGCAGGGGACAGGACTAGGAGCAACAGCTTCAAGCTGCAACAGAGGAAATGGAGTTTAGAGATAGAATCATAGAAAATGAAGGTTGGGAGGGACGTCAGGAGGTCACATCTAACTCAAAGCAGGACCAGCCCCAACTACATCATCCCAGCCAAAACTTTGTTGAGCCTTAAAAACCTCCAAGGATGGAGACTCCACCATCTCTGTAGGTAACCTATTCCAGTGTTTTACTACCCTCCTAGTGAGAAAGTTCAACTTCCCTTGCTGCAGCTTGAGCCCATTGCTCCTTGTTCTGTCATCCACCACCACTAAGAACAGTCCAGCTCCATTTTCTTTGCAGCCATCCTTCAAGGAGTTGAAGGCTGCTATTAAATCCTCTCGGTCTTTTCTTCTCTCTCTAGGCCTAGTTCCCTCAGCCAATCCTCATAAGTCATGTCCTCCAACCTCTGAACCATCCTCATTGCTCTCCACTGGACTCTCTCCAAGTTGTCCACATCCTTTCTGTAGTTGGGGTGCCCAAAACTAGACACAGGACTCCAGATGTAAGGAGGATCTTTCTAACTCGGAGGGTAGTCAAGCACTGGAACAGGCACCTAGAGAGGTAGTCGAGTCTCCACCCCTGGAAATGTTCAAAGGCAGGTTGGGCAGATGCTGGGCTGGAAGGGATAAGTCAGGGCTGATCCTGCCTTGAGCTGCAGGCTGGACTGGATGACCATGTGACATCCTTTCCAGCCTGACTTGTCTATGATCCTATGAGCAATGATGCAGAAGACTCAGAGTTCACACAACATCTGCTGCTGGCTTGCGACAGGCGCTGTCCTTCCGCACAGCCTGCCCTCCCCATCCTGGTCACCACTGCCTTTTATCTCCTGCATCACCCAGGCCAAGGATGCTGGGGGCTCCATGACAATCCATGCCTTTGGGGCTTACTTTGGCTTGATGGTATCGCGGGTCCTGTACCGGCCTCAGCTGGACAAGAGCAGACAGCGGGAAGGCTCTGTGTACCACTCGGATGTCTTTGCCATGATTGGTAAGGACTCTGGAGATATATGGCGGTGTTTCATTTCAGTCATGGAAAAAATATGGATTTTGGGTTACTCCTTTAAATCTGAAAATTGGGGATTTTTTTTTTTTAATCAGAGAAAACCAGGATCCCTGGGCATCAGCAGTGTGAGAAACACGTTGACCTTGGCTTTGTGTTTCCCCTTCCTTGCAGGCACGCTCTTCCTGTGGATCTTCTGGCCCAGTTTCAACTCAGCCATCACCGCTCACGGTGATGACCAGCACCGGACAGTAGTGAACACGTACTTCTCACTGGCTGCCAGCACGCTGGCCACCTTCGGCATGTCATCCCTTATCAATGGGGAGGGCAAGCTAGATATGGTGAGTCCAACCCCATCCTCCTGTTCCACTGCTGTGGTTCCCTCTTAAGTAAAAACTGTCCAGGCCTGGGCATAAGGGTGCAGAGTAGAAGCCCTGATGCTGGACACCTGGAGAGATGCAGGTTGACTTGTAGTTTGGGGAGGTGCAGCTGGGCACCAAGTCAACCCAATGCATTCCTATGGCAGGCTGACCTGTAGTCTGGGGAGCTGCATCCCAGCGACAGGTCAATCCAATGCATTTCTATGGCAGGTTGACCTGCAGTACAGATCAAAACAGTCCGATTCTCCTGATCTGCACCAGTTCTAAATGAAGTGCTAGGTGCCAACCAAGGTGGAACGGGCTGCCACTTTGGACCTCACCTAATCTCCTTGTCCGGGACTGGATGGGGGTTGTGGGAGCCCCCCACTGACTCCAAGCTCTCTCTCCAGGTCCACATCCAGAATGCAGCTCTAGCCGGAGGGGTGGTGGTCGGCACGGCCGGCGAGATGATGCTGACGCCCTTCGGAGCCATGACTGCTGGTTTCCTCGCTGGCCTCATTTCTACTCTTGGCTTCAAGTTCCTCACGGTAAGTGGCTTGACAGCACTTGGGGCCCAATCCTCATGGCCACAACAGGCCTGTTTCACCAGAGCAGCACACAAAAGCCCTAAACCCCCAAGTACAGCTAGAGGGGACTGTTCCAGCCACGAGGCTGCCTGCCTGGCACCCCTCAAGCACCCCAGGATGTCAACACTAAAGAAACTCCAGGGTTGCTCCCAACAGACCTGGGTTTCAGGCATCCCCTAGAGCAACCTCAGATAGACAGAGGGCAGGAGGGGAAGCTTCATGCTGCCTCCTCCTCCATGGTTTGGCCCTTGTTTAGTGGGAGAGGGCAGGTAGGACTGACATCCCAGCTCAGACATGCCCTTAACGTGCAGCCCTGCCCAACCTCACCATTGTTCTGCATTCTCTCTAGCCCCTCCTGGACTCCAGGCTGAAAATACAGGACACCTGCGGTGTCCACAACCTTCATGGGATGCCAGGGGTGCTGGGCGCCCTCCTTGGTGTGCTGGTCTCAGCGGTGGCAACTCATGATGTCTACGGTGATGGGTGAGGACCACTGGGCACCACTTCAGCAAGAGGCCTTGCTCAACCCCCCTGGCTGAAGCACCCCTAGATTGCTTCTCCAAATAGCAGCCCCTGCCCCTTTCCCCAACCAGTGATGGGGAGATGGGAAATCTCCACTGCTGCCTGCATACTGCTCCACAGGTGCTAAGGGAGCACGTCTCTGTGTCAGCTGAATCCAGCTAGCACAGAAGTGAGAGAGGCACAAGAGCATGCTAGTAGCTAGGGTGTGTATGCTCTGCTAGCATCCCCGCTCTGCAGGAGGGCATCCAGGCTGCTAACGGGTGCCACAGCCTACTGTGCTGTGTCTTTACTGCTCTTGCCCCTACTAGCTTGATTTAACTCACTCAGGTGGGCTGGGGTATGGTGCCCCTTTGTTGTATGGATATATCAACTCCAAGGCTTATTAGCTCAGTAGTCTGTTTGCAGCTGGCTCCCAGGAAGAGGGGGAGATTTACAGTGCCTTGTCTCAACCCATTCAGTGCCTTGTGTTGATCACTGATGGAAAGGCATGATGTGGGGTCTGACTGGCCTATATGCCTAACCCACAGTTCAGGAGTCTAGCCAAAGGGTCAAAAACCAGGTCTTGGGGGTGTTTAAGGCCTTAATACAACTGGCACTGATGACCCTTGATGCGTCAGACCCTGGAAGGGCACAAAGGCCCTTGTGTAGCCAGCACGGGTGACAAGGGGCTCCCCAGTCAGACCAAGCTCTCACCTGCCTTGCAGGATGTACGATGTCTTCCCTTTCATCGCCGAAGGAAGCTGGACGGCCAGCTACCAAGCCGTCATCCAGCTCTGCGCGTTGCTCGTGACACTGGGCTTCGCGGTGATTGGAGGGAGCATTGTGGGTGAGTTTTCATAGAAGCATAGAAAATGAGGGTGGGAAGGGACCTCGGGAGGTCACATCTAATCCAGCCTCCTGCTCCAAGCAGGACCAGCCCCAACTACATCATCTCGCCAAGGCTTTGTCTAGCTGGGTCTTAAAAACCTCCAAGGATGGAGACTCCAGCACCTCTCTGGGGAACCTCTTCCAGTGCTTCACCACCCTCCTCCTGAGAGAGTGTTTTCCTAATCTCCAACCTCAGTTTCCCTTGCTGCAACTGGAGCCCATTGCTCCTTGTTCTGCCATCTGCCCCCACTGAGATCAATCCAGGTCCATCCCCTTTGCAACCCCCCTGCAGGGAGCTGAAGGCTGCTATTAAATCCGCTCTGTCTTCTCTTCTCTAGACTAAATAGGCCCAGGTCCCTCAGCATCTCTTCATAAGTCATGTGCCTCAGCCCTCAAACCATTTTCACTTCCCTCCACAGGACTCTCTCCAATATGTTCACATCCTTTCTGTAGTGGGGGGGGGTCCAAAACTGGACACAGGACTCCAGATTTGGCATCACCAGTACAGAATAGAGGGAAATAATCACTTCCCTTGATCTGCTGGCAACACTCCTACCAATGCAGCCCAGGATGCTGTTCACCTTCTTGGCAACAAGGGCACCCCATTAACTTGTATCCAGTTTATTGTCCACTGTCACCCCCAGGTCCTTTTTTGCAGAGCTGCTGCTCAGCCAGTCAGCCCCCAGCCTGTACTGCTGCATGGGATTGCTCCGTCCTAAGTGCAGGACTTTGCACTTGTCCTTGTTGAACCTCATGAGATTTCTTGTGGCCAGTCCTCCAATTTGCCTAGGTCACTCTGAATCCTAGCCCTGCCCTCCAGCCTATCTGCTATTCCCTGCAGCTTGGTGCCATCCATGGACTTGCTTAGGATGCACCCCATCCCATCTTCCAGATCGTTAATGAACATATTTCCTGTCAGTGGGGCTGCAATGGGATCTTGCCTGGCCTGGGGGCAGATAGAAGAGCAGCAGATGGGACGGGGCAGGGATCAGAGGGGCACTCAGGGAGCGTGTGAAGCTAATATGGCCCCCCATGTTAGACTGTCCATGCCCCAAAGAAGTGAGACAAGACAGCCACAATCCTTGCCTTACTGAGAGTAACCAGGCCATGGGGAAACTTAGGGTGTGATTTTTACAGGCATTTAGAGCCTAACCCCCCCTGAAGTCCTGCAGAGCTCAAAGTCTTTAAAAAACTAAGTGACCTGCCCTGGGTCTTATGAGAAATTGGTAGGAGAGCCAAGAACTGACTCAAATCTTCCCCATACCACCATCTCATGCTTTATAACTGCCATTATTTGTATAGTGGCAGCACCTCGAAGCACCATTGGTGGTCCTGTGCCCCTTAGTGCTAGGTACTATATAAATGCAAAACAAAACAAAACCATCCCTACCCCCAGAAGCTATAAGCTAAATAAAATAAACCATAAACCACCGCTGCCTGCCCTGGTCTGGCCACTAGATGCCAGTGTGAGCCAAGGCATCGGGAACTGAGCTGCTGTTTCAATTATAATGAGGCCACAAGTGGCTCAAATGCCTGAGACCAAACAGGTAACGCAAATAGGCAGTGTTTTTTCAGAGGATCAGGGCACTTGCTCTGCAGCTGCAGTGGGTCAGTGCTTCTGGGAAGAGAAGAGAGCAACCCTTTTTTACCCCTTTTTATGTTCCCAGGTGCTATACTGAAAATGAACTTCCTGGCATCCCCCCCAGACACGCAGTGCTTTGAAGATCAGGTCTATTGGGAGGTGAGTCCTCAATATTTCTTTTTCCAAGCACCCCTGGGGGAGCTTGCAATGAAATGAAATGCAGGTCACCAATTACAGCATCACCTAGTAGTCTCAGGACTTCTTACTGTGTCCTTGGCTTTGTCCAGGTCCCAGAAGCGCATCATGATGGCTATGGACACATGCCGCACATAGCCCCGGATGACCCAGACAAGAGCACAGATGCCTAACGGAAGGGACCTGCCCAGCAAGCAAAACTTGACCCAGTCTGAGCCCATCTGATTCTACTTCTCCAATGCTGGCATTTGCCTTCCGCAGCTGGCTGGGGGCTGGTTGGTCTGACTTTGGGACAGCATTGCAGCCTGACCTGGGACAATGGGAGACAGAATGAGATCTTCACCCTGTGTCACCTCCTCTGGAGATTGCAGCCACATTCACATTTCTGCGTGTTCATTCAAGGAAAGAGTAATCTATGCCTAACGGAGGGCTGAGGTCACAACCACCTTTAAAGAGCATCTTTCAAGAGCAAGATGTGCTTGCTGGAAAGGAAGAAGTGGGTTCAGCCCCTGACTCTGATACAGGCTCCCGGCATGACAAGCTGAATCCAAGCCAGCTGGATTGTCCTACTTCTGTTTAAGAGCAGCTTCATCTGGAGCTGCTGCGTTTGAACCTGCTTTTAACAAGACATAACTAAAATAACTGCACCCATGCCGCTGTTAGCACCAATGTACAAATCACAGTATTACCATAACTCCCCCCAGTCTGCACAGTCACAGACCCATGGGTTCCCCTTGCCTTCACACGAGGATATCAACCCAACCTTGCTGATCTGGACTGCAAACTCTTTGAGGCAAGACGGTCTCACCCTGTATCCCTGAAGTGCCCAGCACAGGCATAGTTGCAGCAAGGGAAGTTCAAGTTGCAGCAAGGTTAGATATTAGGAAAAACTTTCTCACTAGGAGGGCAGTAAAGCACTGGAACAGGTTACCCAGAGAGTAGCATCTCCATCCTTGGAGGTTTTTAAGCTCCGGCTAGACAAAGCCTTGGCTGGGATGATGTAGTTGGGGCTGGCGCTGCTTAGAGCAGGGGGTTGGATTAGATGTGACCTCCTGAGGTACCTTCCCACCCTCGTTTTCTATGATTTTATGATAGTATCAGGTAGCCCCTTTGGGCTTCTACAGCTGTTCCTACCATCACATTTTGTGCCTGGACACAGGAGTGATGTGGGCACCAAGAGACACCCCAGCCACGACAGCAGCAGGGTGCGACAGCAAGTGTTTTACCCCCTATCCTGACTGTGGCAATAGAGTTGAGATCAAGCTCTGCACTCAGATTTCTCTTCTGAATATACCTCAGTGATGTGGCTGGTGGAGAAGAGGGGGATGATTTGTTTTAAGAGATATAGCCCTATTAGTAGCATCACAAGAGTGCACAGTTGCATCACTACAAAGATGCCTTCTAAGCACCTTATTTCTGGCTCCTGTATAAATGCAACTTCTCCAACTGTTCCCACTGGCTGGGCTGTGCTGCTCTGACTGCACTGGTACATGTCCTCTGACTTGCACATCTCCGAAAAAGGGAAGCTGAAAGGCTAGGTCCTACTTCTGTATTTAAATGTCATGTCCTATGTGGTTGCTAATGGTATTTACAAGCAGAGAATGAGCTTTGCAAAACCACAAGTAAACACCTCCTTGTGAAACACAGAGATGATGCTCTTTGCTAAGCAGGGAGGAAGGCTGAGGGCAGGGGTTATGGGGGCTCTTCTTAACTCTGCCACTGACTTGCTGGGTAATCCCAGTCACTTCACTTATGCCCCTCTGAGCCCCAGTCTTTCCTATCTATAAAAAGACGTGACAACACTGACCAACATGTTGGGGTCCATGGAGGAAAACTGCAGGGAGTTTTTCTATAAATGTGCTGTGGGCACGAAGAGGGGGAAATAGGAGAAATGTTTCCATAGGAGAAGAAATTTCCTGTTGCTTAAAATCTCTCAGAATTTAGCATAAAAACGTGCAACAAAAACTTCGGTTTCGTCCATTTTTTCCCTTCTCCAGCAGAAAAAAAGATCCCACCCCCAAATGCCACAATATTAGACACATTTTTAATTCAGGCAAAAGGCATCAAGCTTCCATTTTGGTCCCTGTTGCTGGAAGATGAAGGATTCAGGAAGCAACAGCTACAAGATCTCACAGCACCATGAAGATGTACTTAATTTTCGAGCCACCAGAGGATGCTGCTACACAGATGCCAATTTTTTACCAACGCAGATGCCCTGAAGAACCCAAAGAATTTCTCCCTTGGGCAAATCATCCCCCAGGTCCATCCAGGTTTTGGCTCCAGAACTGAACCTGTTTCCCATTTCCAACTTTCTAACCAAAAATGCCCTGAAAATAGCTCTCCAGAGGAAGGATGAACTTAAGATCACAGGGCGGGAAGGGACCTCCTGAGATCACATCTAGAGGAGCCTCCTGCTTAAGGCAGGATCATCCCTGATGAAACCACCCCAACCATCCCAATCACTTGAATTTTGCTGCAAAACTCTTTTTTTTTCTTTTTTCAGCCAAAGAGTTTGGGTAGCAAGTGCTCCTGTCCAGACTGGATGGGGGTGAGGATGCCTCTCTCTTCTTCTACTGGATTCTGGGCTGGTTGGATTCCCCACTAGATGGGGCTCCCTGCCTGTGCATGCTGAAGGGAGGATGCTGCAGGTACCGCCTGGCTGCTCAACAGGGACTTTGTTCCTTGGGGGCCTCACTTGCTCCCTCTCAAGCATGCAGAGGAGTTGAGCTGCTGGCAGCTTTTGCTGGACGAGAGCCCAGCTGGTGCCAGCAGCTCTCACCAGGGCTGGCTCAAGCTGGGGGTGCCCCCAGCCCCGTTATCCAAGCTCCTTCCTCCTCTCCGTTGAGTCTATTCTCCGCATTCCCATCCTTGTGCCCCCTGCTCTGCCCAAGTGCCATCTTTTGGTCCTCTCTGCCAGGTGACGACCCTCTCTTCCTCCCCCTTTCTTCTCAAAAGCCCCCCTTTCTTCCCAGGCCTTGCAGCCACCATCCTCTTGATTCTTCAAAACACACAACAAATTCTAGCAACAGCTCTCACAACACTTGTCTTAGCTATGGCAAAATCATGGGAACACACAGGTTTGACCCAGTCCCAGACTCTCAAGATTTTTGGGATTTGCACACCACATGCTCCCCCATCCCCAAAAGATGCCCACCTTGATTTGAAAGAAGAAAGAAAAAAAAAGCCCCCTTTACAACCATTTAGTTGGTCTCAGAAAAGATATTACATCTACCCAAAGAACCTTGTCTGCCAGTGGATAAATAAGTTATTCATTTTTCCCCTAACAGAAATAGAGATTTTTCTTTTTTTTTTTTTTAACTTTTTTTCTTGTTTGGCAAAATGCACATTTTTCCTGCACAAAAAATCTATGGTTTTTTTTTTTAAAAGAGAACTTTTCTCCTGGAAGTTTTCTGACCCAAAAATTTCCAACCAGAGCTAAGATGCTGCAACAAATAGAAGAGGGATTTGATGGAAGACAATGCTATTTGTGATTGTCTCATCTCCAGCTGGTCCCGTATCCTGCACCCCACACGTGCTGGGAGGCAAAGGAAAGAGAAAGATCGATTGACTTACAGTCTGAGCTTAGAATTATCATTTCACTCCTTTTCCAAGTCCTTCTTGTCCTGGAAACTCAAGTCTGTGTCTCTCATGCAATGCAACACAAGTGATCATTACAGTCTGCGGTTAATAGGGAAGGTTAATGCCTTTGAAGTTTGCACATAAAGCCAGTGGCAGGGCTGGAGACTGAATGTAACATCCCTGCACCCCACTCATGCAGCTCAGCCCCCAAACCAGCTCTGTTTTCCCTTGACCACCTTTGAAACACCCCTCGGGCTCGAGTGGAGGTTAGAAGTTGGTGTCTCAGTGCAGGCCCCGCTCTTCCCCCTGACCTGGATTGAAAGTTTCATGAGCAGACATCCCTCTGAGAGTTACTCGTCAGGTTGAAGGTACCTGCAAAATGCCTTCCCATAACACCTCCTGCCCTCCAGCCAACAGCACTCAGGGGGTGTCTGGGCAGTTTTGTTGCACGGGATCCCAGCATCGCAAAGGGCCTTGATGCATGTACAAGTGATTTATCTAAATGTGGATTCAACTGCACACAATTAAGTTGCACTCGCTGTCTACAGACGTGGTATACAAAGCCCTGTGGCTCCAGGCACTTTACACACACACGAGGCAGATGCAGATGTGATGATCTGCAGAGACAGGACGAGGAGGGAGAGAATGGGAAGCTGCCCAAGGTCAAACCACCAGCCTGTGGCCAAGCCAGGACTGCAACCCAAGCTTCCCCACTTGCAATCCACCATTTGAGTCACCCAAGCTCATGGCCTCTCAGTAATGAGTAACATCGTAGTGTCACCCCTGAGCAACATGGACCAGCAAAGGCTGGGGACCAGTGCCTTAGGTAGAGTGGATCCTGCTAAAGTCCTGGTTGATGCTTCAGCCCCATCTGTTATGATCCTATGGCAGAGACATGGACAGACAGATTATGGAGATAAGCCCAGGGAGGAAACCAGCGACCTAAACCCACATCAGCACCCAAACTGCAGGGGCCACACAGTACCGGGTCAAGCCTGGCCCAGCGTCCCATCTCCAACAGCAGGAGATAGCAGATGGCCCAGAGGAGGAGCACCCATGTAGGGTGGCCCATGTCCTGCCAGACCCTCCCCACTGCAGTGACAGAAGTTATAATTTAGAGATGCTCCCTAACAGGAGAATGAGAATTGGAAGATGGTCCCTCTGTCAGGAAGCAGTTAGCTAGCTAGTTAGAAACAAACCAAGGGTCTGCAGAGGCTGCCTGCTGCTCCACCATTAATTGTTGTTTAGTTCTTCTCATTCATTGTAGGCCTGCATTTACTGGACCCAAGGATCAAATGATCACTACACTCGTCCCCTAGTTTAAGCTCTCCCTAACATCCAAGAGCCCTGCTTCTACCCTGGCCTTAACAGACAATTTCAAAGAGCCTGTGCACGTGTGTGTACACACACACACATCCCCCTCCACTCTTCAGCTCCAGTGGGACCTGTCCTGTTATCTGGGGCACATGTGTGCCAGCATGACACATGCACACCAAGCGAGAGTCTGGCACCCAAGGTGTGAAGCGTATGGCACTTGTCTCCCTGGGTTTGCTACTCTGCGTGCACGCAGAAGGCAGGCTCGCCACATCCCCCACCCCTGTGCCATCCCCACTAGGAAGCCTTCACACTTGCCCAGCTCTTTCCTCCACCCATGGATCTTGGGGTGGGGGGGTGACAGGGAAGCAGATGAACAGCAGCACTCCCTGCTCCTCTCCAATGGCTCTCCTAATTGGAGTGATCATCAGGGATCCAGGTTTTCTCAGATCCAAAAATTGGGGATTCTTTTTTATTTAAAAAGGTAACCCAAAAGCCACATTTTTCCATGATTAAAATGAAACACCAGTGATATATAGATATATTAGTGGCGTTTTGTTTTAATCATGGAAAAATGTGGATTTTGGGTTACTTTTTTAAATCTGAAAGTTGGGGATTGTTTTTTCTTATCAGAGAAAACCAGGAACCCTGGTGATCATGTAGGGATGAAATGAACACCCAAGCCTGCGTGTCCAACCCAGAGCTGATTCACTGATCACTTGGCCAGCGAGAAAAGGCATCAGGT